CTCAAAATCCAGCATTTGTGGGTTACCTTTATTTATTTTTTTCCCCCAATATTAGAGGCAAAAAGGAGAGAGAAGGCACAACATGGAACAGGAAGTGACATCACACAGAAGGGTCTACAACTACCAGGACAGCACAGTTAACTACACAAACGCAGGCGCCCAATTGGCTGAAGGCGCTGTCCGTCTCGGCACGTTTCCCCTCAAGAGTCCCGCCCCCACCATGATGATGTCAAGACAGTGGGCGTGTCTTCATCAGGGGTGGAGTGTTCTCAGTAGGCGTGGTTGGCGACGAACAGGGATTCTCCGGCGGCTGCGCCCTTGTCTCCAGTGGGAACATACTTCCCGACCGCAGCCTGGCTGTTAGTCTGAGATAGAGGGGGAGACAGATATCAGCACCGGCTCAGTACAGAGTGTCCGAGCAGCAGACTGCCCCTCCGCCCGGCTTCACTGCTGGTCCCCAGGGAAACATTCACTGATCTACTGTCCAGGGCACTTATTTCCTTAAAAAGCAGGAAGCGGTCCTGATCTGTTTCTCTGTGGCAGGTTTCAGTGGGGCAGTCGGTGTGTCAGTACCCGTGAGGGCTTGGTGCTCTCCTCCATGTCATTGTGTCAGTGTGACAGTGGGTCATTCACTGCGTCACTGGGTCCGTCAGTGTGTCAGTGGGTCAGCATGTCAGTTGGTCAGTCAGTGGGTCAGCGTGTCAGTTGTCAGTGTGACAGTGGGTCAGCGTGTCAGTTGTCAGTGTGACAGTGGGTCAGTCAGTGAGATAGTGAGTCAGTGGGTCAGTCAGTGAGATAGTGGGTCAGTGTGACAGTGGGTCAGTCAGTGAGATAGTGGGTCAGTGGGTCAGTCAGTGAGATAGTGGGTCCGTCAGTGTGACAGTCAGTGAGATAGTGGGTCAGTGGGTCAGTCAGTGAGATAGTGGGTCAGTGGGTCAGTGAGACAGTGGGTCAGTGGGTCAGTCAGTGAGACAGTGGGTCAGTACCGTTGCTCTCTTGATGTACTCCTCCTGGGAGGCCTTGGCATTCTCCTTCTTGCCTGCCCAGGCCTTCAGCGCGGAGGCCTGCAGCGCGCGGCCGTACGAGAAGGTCAGGGCCCAGGGCTTGTGCAGGGGGCACT